GAAAATTGGACAGATACATGCAAAAGAATGAAACTGGATAACCAACTTACACCATACACAAAAATAAACTCAAAATGGAAACAGGACTTAAACATAAGATGGGAAACCATAAAAATACTAGAGGCATCCACAGGCAGCAAAATCTCAGACATATGCCAAAAGAACTTCTTCACTGATACTTCTCCTAGGGCAATGGAAGCTAAAGAGAAAAATAAACAAATGGGACTACATCAAAATAAAAAGCTTTTTTACAGCAAAGGAAACCATCAACAAAACAACAATAAAGCCCTCTGTATGGGAGAACATATTTGCAAATGTTACCACTGATAAAGGTTTAATCTCCAATATCTACAGACAGCTTACACAACTTAATAAAAGGAAGATAAATGACCCAATTAAAAAATGGGCAATGGATCTAAATAGAATCTTCTCAAAAGAAGACAGAAGGAAGGCCAAGAGGCACATGAAAATATGCTCAAAGTCACTAATTATCCAAAAAATGCAAATCAAAACAGCAATGCGACAAGTCAGAATGGCCAACATCAACAAATCAACAAATGACAAGTGTTGGTGAGGTTGCAGAGAAAAAGGAACCCTCGTGCATTGCTGGTGGGAATGTAGACTGGTGCAACCACTGTGGAGAACAGTATGGAGCTTCCTCAAAAAACTGAAAATGGAACTCCCATTTGACCCAGTAATCCCACTCCTAGGAATATATCCCAAGAAGCTAGAAACATCAATCAGAAAGAATATATGCACCCCTATGTTCATAGCAGCACAATTTACAATAGCTAGGATTTGGAAACAGCCTAGGTGCCCATCAGCAGATGATTGGATCCAAAAACTATGGTACGTTTACACAGTGGAATATTACGCAGCCATAAAAAAGAAAAAATTCTCATCGTTTGCAGCAACCTGGATGGAATTGGAGAACATCATGCTGAGTGAAACAAGCCAATCAATGAAAGAGAGACACCACATGACCTCACTTATTTATGGATGATAAAGAACATTATAAACTGAAGAACCAAAAGATAGATATAGAGACAGTAAAGCAACAAGCAGACTGTCAAATTACAGCGGGGAGGTTGGGGAGATCTGGGGGAGATAATAGATCAACCGAAGGACTTGTATACATGCATATAAGTACAGCCAATGGACACAAAACTCTAGGGAGGGAGGGTATGTACAGGAGGGGGGGCATTGGTATATGTACAAAAATAATAATTTAATAAAAAAGTATATTCTAAAAAAACAACAACAAAAAACAAACAAACAAACAAAAAAAAACCTCGATCTGAACTGCTGGGGTCCATGTAAACATGAATAGAAAACAGCATTTTAAAAATCTTCACCCAAGGATATGTTTTTGACTTTAGAGAGAAACATTGATCAGTTATGTCCTGTACCCACCACAACCAAAGATCAAACCGGAAACTTAGGCATGTGTCCTGACTGGGAATCGAACCTGCAACATTTTGGTGTATAGGATGACACTTCAACCAACTGAGCCACATGGCCAGGGCAGGAAATAGTGTTTAATATTATTTTTATTGATTGCTTTTATAGAGAGAGAAACATTGATTTGTTGTTCCACTTATTTATGGATTCACTGGTGGAATCTTGTATGTGCCCTGAGCAGGGATTGGCCTCCAGTCTTGGTGTATCTAATCAACTGAGCCACCCGGCCAGGGCCAAAACAGTATTTTTGATTCAAGTTTGTGAATCTGTGGAATCGGAGGGCTGTTTTAGGCCATCATCTATACAATAAAAGCATAATATGCTAATTAGACCAGACATCCTTCCAGACAAAGCCCGGGCTGTGAGGGAAGCCTGGGACCTGGGTGCCAAAGGGAAGCTGGTGCTGGCAGCTGGGGGATGGAAGGCCTACTCTTGCACAAATTTCATGCATTGGGCCTCTAGTCTATCTATACCAATAAAAGAGAAATACGCAAATCGACCGTCACCCTATGACACCCACCAGCCAATCAGGAGTGAGTATGTAAATTAACCCAACAAAGGTGGCGGCAGCCCTGCCCCCCAGCCACTCTGGTCCTCTAGGCAGCATGCATGCAGGTGCAAAGCGGTTGGGTGGGGTGGGGCGAGATGCCTGCTATGATGGGCGGGGGTGGGGAAGAGATGGAGGGAGCTACAGGAGCAGTGCTCTGGCTGGAGCGAAGACTGAAGATGGCACCAGAACAAAAGCTTGGATCCCAGGTGCCGGAGGAAAATGAATGCCAGCAGCCAGGGGAAGGAAAGCCTATTGTATGAATCTTCGTGCAATAGGCTCAATGCAGGAGCTGCCCCCCTGGTGGCCAGTGTGCTCCCATATGGGAGCACTGCTCAGCCAGAAGCTGGGCTCATGGCTGGCAAGTGCAGCAGTGGCGGCGGGAGCCTCTCCTGCCTCTGCAGCATCACTAAGGACCCCTCAGCGAATGTCCAACTGCCGGCTTAGGGTGCAGGCTGGGATGAGGGACCTCTCCACCCCAGTGCATGAATGTTGTGCACCAGGCCTCTAATACATAATAAAAGGCTGATATGCAAATTGACTAAAAGGTAGAACTACTGGTCACTATGACATATATTGACCACCAGGGGGCAGATGCTCCACACAGGAGCTGCCCCCTGGTGGTCAGTGCACTCCAGGCTCATGGATGGTGAGCACAATGGTGGTGGTGGCAGCCCATTCCTAAGCCATCAGTTGGACATCCCCTGAGGGCTCCAGGACTGAAAGAGAGCACAGTTCGGGCTTAGGGACCCCAACCCTGAGGGCACAAATTTCGTGCACTGGCCTCTAGTTTCATATAAAGGATTTGAGCATCTGTGCATATTGGTGTTGGGGGTAGGGCTGGAACCAATTCCCTGTGGGTACTGAAGGACAACTGAAGTTTTGGGGGAGTCAAAAGTTATATGTGGATTTTTTTACAGCATGGATGCCCCAAGTCCTGTGTTGTTTGGGGTTTACCATAGACTATGTGAGTTCTTGATACATGACTCCCGTAAGTTTAGAACCAAAATCATGAAATCTGTCACCTCATTTGCTGATCCTGCTCTGCCAATCAACCAAAATAGCATCACAGCCCAACCTGGCCTGTTCTCCAGCAAACAGTCCATGTCGCTGGGACCTCAGGGTGTTCCCTGAAAGGGATTTTGTAGCGATTTCAACCCTCAGCCACCAGAAACACCTTTACAACAACTTCATCTCTAAATTTCCCTAGATCGTATTTCTAAAGGAAAAAAATTATTAATCTGGATTGAAGAAAGGCACACATTTCATTTATTGTCTGTTCTTATTAAACAAACCAGGCTCATTATAGAATCAATATCAACTTAACCACCCTGGCCCTGAGAAGAGTGAAAGGTCACTCTGAGAAATCCAAACACTTTTCCTGCTGGAAGGGCCAGATTTTAATCACAGATACTATTAATTAGGGCTGTCATTGGGATTTTTTTAATTATCACAAACTCAGTTCTAAGTATGCATTTTCAACCTGCATTTTGGTCAAAATTAGCCTTTTCTGCATGCGAGCCCAAGCTTTCCATTCTATCAATATTTTATATTTGAATTTCAAAGTATATCAAAGGACGTCAGGCTCTCTAATGGCTGCCCGCACGCGCTCCGCGGAGAGCGCTGTGTGATCATTTATTTATGTCCAAGCAGGAGGCCCGGAGGAGCTGTGCCCTCTATGGACGCTCTGCTCCACAGGCTCGGGTGAATTCCCAGTGGCTGATGTGACATCTTTGCCAGGCTCCTTCAAACGCCATTCTTCTTTTGCTTTCATGCAGAGCTGCACGGGTGACGGAAGCTCCCCCCCCCCCACACACACATCCAAGTGGCCATTTCATTATAAGACTGAGGTGACCAGGCTGTGACCCCTCCAGGAAACCAGAGCGCTCTCCATTCAGACCGCACCAAGAGTCTTGAAATGGGAAGAAGCCACCTCCTGGCCACTCAGCCTAGACATTTTATAGCTCCAGCTGCTCTGCCTGGGAGGGCCCTGGCACGCAGAGAGCTCGGAGGGCCCTTGAAGGGCAGGGGCCGGGAGCCTTTCCCTGTGACTCTGATGACAGGAGAATAGTAACTAGCACACAGGGTTGTAACATAGGTCGTGTTGTTTATAAGGCTTATTACACATCACAGTCATGTGATTAGAGAAAACGCAGACTCATCCCATGGGAGAAAACCTTTGCCAAGTCTATCCTGATTAGACGTTTAAATGAAGATTCAGTAAGTCACTGTCTCACGTGGGGAACACACTGGGAGCAGAAGGATATTTTATGTTAAAAGAAATCAGATGTCCTAAGTTGTCTATATTCTGGGCTTGCACTGATGCTCAGCCAGGAGGCTCAGCTCCTCACAGGACGTGACTGAGTGTGGCCGTGGACACGGTACAGTTTCTGGAATGTCTGTGAACTTGTGCAGGTCCGCTGGGTCTGCACCTGCCTTCCTGGTCCGCACTGGCGCCCGATGTGCCCGCGCCAGCGTCGCTTGCTCCTTTTCACCGTTAGGCCCCACTTTATCCAAATCAGAGCAGCGTGCCGACGGGATGGGCACACAAAACACCCAGGACATCTTCAAACACCCACACCCCAATCTATCTTGCAATTCTGGCATTTCCCATTAACATTTCCCCATAAGTGGCCAAATGGAGGAAGGTGCCAGATGAACATGTGTCATGTATTGTGCTTTTTGCCACGTTTCTAATGAGCTCCCCACTTTCCCGGCTAAAGCGAGACTATCTAAGAACAAGCATGCATGCATGCAGAGCCTGACAGCCAAGGTTTCGAGGTAATTACCAAAATGCTAAAAGGTGTCAAACTGTCCTCAGAAAGGTGCCTAGGAATGAAAACTGTGGGCGGGCGTGTGGGGGGTGGTGGTGAGTGAGGCCATGTGTGTGACCTGTCTGTTCACAGCGCTGGGCGGGCCGGGCACGTTACCCGTTACCCGGTGGGCGCGGGGGGGGGGGGGGGGGGGGGCAGCGCTGGCGGTGGGCCGTTACCTGGTAGGCTGCGGTGGCGTCGGGGCCCGGGTCGCCCGCCAGGCCCCGGAGCTTCTCCCTGAGCCGACGGTGAGAGTCGTGGCGCAGGCAGTAGATGACCCCCGAGGCCAGCAGAACGCCCAGGATGGCCGCGATGGACAGCAGCGTGAGCACCAGGAACTTGGTGGAGTCCTCCTGCTCCGCGGGCCGAGGTGGGGGCTGGAGCTTGCTCTTCTGTGGACCAGGAGAGAAGCCTGTTAGTCCCTAAGGAGGCCCCCACACGTCCCTGTCCACCCAGCCCCAAAGGCGCACCAGGAGGGGCGCCGCCCTTCAGCAGACGGTGGTGGAGGCAGTCATTGGCTGGTGCCTTCCGGCCACTGGTCAGATTTAACAAAACGCAGCGCTTGGTGCCTGGAGCACGTCTTTTGAACAGGTGGTTGGGGATACAGCCTCCCCGAGTGCACCCCTCCTCAGCCCACCCCTCCCCCCCAGCCTGCAGCCCGGGGCACAGCGGAGGTGGGGGTCCTGGGGCTGCGTGGTGTCCTGCCGGGGCCCCTCGCCGCGCCCACCCGTCTCCGCAGGCTTCCCGGGGGTGGGGCGGCCTGAGGCTCCGGGCAGGGCAGGGTCGGGACCGGGCCGGGCTTGGGAGAGCCGAAGGCCTCCGCTCTCAGTTTTTTGGGGTCCTTTCCGTATATCCCACTGGTCTCCACGCAGACCCGCCAGGAGCCGGGGGTCGCCCGCTCCTCCGGGAGGCAGGGGACATCGGCCACCCGCACCCCGGACCACAGGCATCGCCCGAGCCGGCGCCCCCTCCTCCGAGAGCAGCCCGCCCGCTCCGGCCCCCCAGCCCCGGCCCCGGCCCCCCGGGCCCCCGGCCCCCCAGCCCCGACCCCGGCCCCCCCGGGCCCCCGGCCAGGCCGCCCGGACCCCCGGACCCCCGGCTCCGGCTCCCCGGCCCCGCCCCCCCCCCCCCCCGGCCCCGGCTCCCCGGCCCCCCCCACCCCGCCAGGCCGCCCGCCGTGCCGCCTGGGCGGGAGGGCCGCTCCGCGTTAGCCGTTACCTCCACTGCGGCCGCGGGGATCAGCCGCGGGAGGAGCCGCCGGGAGGAGCCAGGGAAAACGCGGGGAAGAGGAAGGTCCCAAAAGGGAAGGTCCCGGGCTCTGGGGCGATGCGGCGGGATGGGCTCCGGGCGGCCGGGGCAGCCGGCTGGTCCCAGAGGAGGAGGGAGCGGCCTTCCCCCTCCGCCCCCGCCAGCCGCGCAGCTGAGCCAAGCATGTCCACGCCCCCCCCCCCCCCCCCCGGCCCTGCGCCCTCCCTGACGCCCCCTCCTCGAGGGGCGCAGCCGGCAGCGCGAGGAGCGGGTGGCCGATGGGGAGGTGGGTGTCCGGGACTCCCTCCCCCTGGACGGGGACGCCCCGATGCCCCGGGTGGTCAGGCGGGGGCCGGGCGGTCAGGGCGGGACCGGACTGGGCCGGGCTCGGGTGGGACCTGCGCCCCAGGAGGAGGTCCGAATGACACCGGGGGGCGGCCCCACCTGGCAGCTCGGAGGGGTGGGGGGACGGGCCTGGGCAGAGAGCCCGATGGCAACAAAGAGGCACGGGGCACGCGCGGGGCGCCGTGCTCCCCACCCACCGCTCCCTGCGCAGGCGACGGGGACCCGGCGGTGCCCCTGGGTCCCGCCCGGGCGTCGGAGGAGCCACGCAGAGCCGCTGGCTGCGCCCAGACGAGGGCTCCTGACGCCCCCCCTCCCGCCCCCAGGCGCGAGGGGCCGGCGCGGTGAGGGGCGGGACGGGGCCCGGTGTGGGCGGATGAGCCCCTGCACCCGCCCACGCGGACCGAGGCCCCGGCCTGCCGGCCCTTGGAGGGCACAGGGCTGTGCCTGCCCCGCCCGGGAGCCCGGTGAGCGCGGGAGCCGCCCGCGGGCGGCCAGTCCTCTTGGCGGGTCCTGGTCCTGGGAAGCCGCGTCACCGCAGCGTGGGCAGCGGAGGGCTCTCGTGCCCTGAATTTGCCCAAAGAAAAACGTCAGGAAGAGCCACTGCCCGAGCCCAGGCCCCCCGCCGTCCTCCCGCTCCCCGCGCCAGCGGGCCAGCGGAGTGGCTGGAGGGGAGGCGGGGCGGCGGGAGGGGGCGCCCCCCAGCCCTCTTTCTGTGGTCCCGGCCCCCCGCGGCCTGTGCTGCGCTGTCGGGAAGAGACAGGGTGACAAAGGGCCCCCTACCTACAGCGGCCCACCAGCAAAGAGCCCCTCCCGCACCGCAGGGTAGCCAGGCTGGGGACGCTGGACACGGGGCCTCCGGCGGCCGATGTGACAGTGGGAGCCGCTGCTGAGGGACAGCAGGACCTGCAGGTCCCACCTGTCTGACCCCAGGCAGGACCGGCCTGGCTGGGAACCTTCTGTTGCACTGGGTGGTCTGCGGAAGCTCAGGGGAAACCGGAAGAGTGACCCTGGGTCCCCAATGGTTCCAACGTCCTGCCTCTCCTGCCTGGTGCGTGCCCAGGCTCAGGAAGGAGTACTGTTGGCTGCAAGTCAGGTCTTAAGAACCCCGGAAGGAACAAACATTTACAGAAATTCGTTTTTTTAATTAAAGAGTGTGAATCCCTCCTTGGCATAGTGATTGAGTTTCAATAACTTTATGATTATTTATTTCTTTTCATGGAGTTAAAAAACAAAATACTTCAAACTCCTACTAACCAGGAGCTTGAGGAGAAGACGTGAGTCTGCTAACAGCGTCACTGAGATTGATCCAACTCCAGTCCAAGTGCGATGTGGGGGCCCTGCTCCCCAAGGCTGAGCTACTTGAAAGGCAGGTGCTCCCTGCAATCTCGCCCCGCACTGAGCGCTGCAGAGTGCCCACAACTAATTAGAGGCATCTTGCCAGTCTTGACTTGAAATTGAAAGAAAATAATGTTTAAATATTTATGACTTTGACATTTACAGTAGGGAGTCTTTTAAAAGCGGAGCAGCTCCTGTGCAGAGGCAGCTGGCTTTGCTGGAGTTTGGAGCAGGGTCAGAGGAAGGAGCAAGACCGGAGAGAAAGGCTGGGCCACGGGAGCACGGGTCTGGGGGTCTGGAGCCCTGGGCAGAGGAGACGCAGACAAGCACGTAGCTAACGCTGAGGTGCAGGAAAAGCATGGCATCTAAAAGAAGCGGAATAACTAAGTCAGCTTTACATCAGAGGCACACTCTGCTGTCTTCTCCCACTTGACCACCTCCCCTGCAGCTCCCTGAATTTAGAATTAAAGTACTGCAAATGCTGTGACTCACATGGACGTGAGCAGAGACCATTGGAGCAGTTGCTCTTAAAGATTAGGATCTACAGATACTGTCCTGACCTAGTTAAACTATTTGATTTGTGTTCAGAAGCAAAGGTACACGAGCTTCCCTCACATTATCTTCTGAGCAATTTATGGCAAAATATCCTCAAAAAATAGTTTTAGCTGTCCGTGTGGTAAGTTTAAAAGAAAAGAAGCAAGACAAAAAAAGAACATTCTATATCCAAACATGGCTGTGAGAACTGAGGGAGCAACATAAATAGGAAACTTTATGGTAACAAATATTTGTCGAAAGGTAGCAAAATGTAGCATTTCCCCAGGCTGTGGTAACCAGCTAACAAGAACAGTCTATATCTAAGTAAGTGACTTCAGTTTTGAAACACATTTGTATAGAAACAAATGGACACAGGTATTCAGTTTCATTAATATTGAACTTCCAAAATCATAGACTGTTCCTTTTGCTTCGTTTCTAAGGAATCTGCTTTGCAAACCCAGCCTTAGCACTCTTGCTTTTCTGTAACTCGAAGCCCACTGCCCTTGAATATTTAGAAATTTGTTTTAGACTCTGCTCATGAGTTGCTATAACAAATCTGTTTTTGGTTTCCCAGATGAATCATCTTAGAATTATTTGGGAATTTCATGCTACATTTACAAAAACACATTTACTAAAATATAGTAACTATTACTTTAAAGCTAATAAAAAATTTTAAAGTTGTCAACCCATGGGGATGACCAACTTAAAAATATGAGAGGGGGTTGTCTTAAACATTTTAAAGTATTTTTTAAAGCTGTTAACTGAACTATTTTAAATTTGGAATTTGCCACAGAATTCTAATAAATGAGAGAAGCCAGGCAGAAATAATCATGTATTAATTCTCTGCATTACAGAATCTTTCCAGAAGCTATTATCAGCGAGAGGCACCGGGCTGGAGTCAGGGTGGGAGAAGCCTTTGTGCAGCTGAAAGCTATTGTTCCCTGCGGACGAAATTGTACTTGCTAATCTGCCATTCAAGTATCAAAAAGAAAAGGCCTATCTGGGCCAAAGAAAGGACTCCAAGGAATCATTATTCTTACAAACAAACTTTAATGAAATAGGTGGGTGCGCTGTTTAACAGGCGGTTAGGAGGAGGCACAACGGTAAACACAAAAGATAGTGGGGTCCCCTGGCCTCCTCCCGGCCCCAAGCCCAGCGCTGGGGAGCCTCTGAACATCAGGGGAGGTGTAAGGGTTTACCTTAGAAGGGGACACTCCCCCTGTGAACTGGTGTTTAGTGGAGCTGAATAAACACCAAATGGTCTCAGCTGAGGAGAGCCCTAAGTGTGAGAGTGTGTGTGTGTGTGTGTGTGTGTGTGTGTGTGTGTGTGTGTTGGGGGGGAGGGGGCGCGGAGAAGACCGCCAGCCCTCAGTGCGGGGGGGGGGGGGGGGGGGGGGGGGGGGGGGGGGGCTCCAGCTGCCTCTGGGCTCCCAGGCCTGCGCCCAGCACACCCCACTCTGGGAGGAGTGCTCTCCGAAGCTGCGCAGGTTTGGGGTTCTCCATTCGGGCCTCGCTGAGGCCACCAGGGGTCCTAAAGATTCGCCTGCCTGTGCCCCGCAGGGCTCCCCTGGGACTCGGGGCGCAGACGGAGCGCAGGGCCCTTGAGGCTCCCCCACCGGCCACAGGCGCCGGCTCCCTGGCCTCCCGGACTCTCTCAGGGTCCTGCAGGGTCTGAGGGCAGGCCCGGCGCTGGCACAAAGGGGCAAAGGGCTGGGAGCGGAGTCTTCTGGGCAGCGGGGTTCCAAGGCTTCAGCCCCCTCCCCGCGGGACAAAACCCCAGCCAGGCCTCCACACCATCCAGCAGCAGCCCCAGGGCGCGGGCCCACGACTCCAACACGCCCCGTTGCCCCACTCAGCGGCCTGGCTCCTCTGCCCTCCCGAACGGGCCACCCCTCCAAACGGGCCACCCCTCCCCAACGGGCCACCCCTC